CCAGACATCTTCTTCGCAAGAGATATGTGGGGAGTCCTGAGTAGGGAGGTGAGTAGCTGGAGTACCTCTGATTTAAAGTGGCTTAAGCTATTGTGGACCAGCACCTCAAGATTTCCACATCACCCCTGTGTATTTTAATTGCTGCTAAAATGCCAATTAGCGTGAGCAGAGCTGTAGTTAACTGTGAAACTATTTGCATGTTTAAAAGTATGCAGATGTTGATGTCTTATGCTAGATCAGGATCTTAATTATGTATCGTTTGAGATAATTAGGTTGCGTTAGCTTCGTATTTCAACCTGCTAATTCTAACTACTAAATTAGGATTCAGCTGTAATCCATGTATGTTTAGTTGAACTATTTCAATTTGTTCCTTACATTAAGTAATCAGTCATGAAAGTGTTGTGATTAATTCTACTCCTACATTCTGATTTTCTGTGAGAGAGGTCTGAGTTCAACATATTCATATCACCAGGTGAATGCAGGCAATTATGTCCTTGCTCTTTGTTGTACAATGTTTCCCAGTAGATATAAATGGATAAATATTATGAGGAACAAATAAGTCCCAAAGTGTCTTCATTTTGGTAAGGAGTTTATTCTTAGGTTGATGTGCTAGCCTGTATTTTGTGGCTTTTATTTTCTCTTTCCTGTCTTTTAGAAGTGTACACTTAGAAATTAATTGAAAAAGTTTACATTTCTAATGAAAATAAAAAATGTGGTAAAAGCATATCTGCAGTTTAGCCCATGGTGAATAATCCAACCTTTCTCTTAATCTAAGATTTATATCAGTGGAGTGATTACCTGCTTACAGGTGCAGGAGTATAACTTCATTGCATTGTTCCCACAGATGAGCACCATGCCAGGACTGCCCACAAGGCCATGCTTCTATGACATTGACCTTGACCCCGTCACAGAGGAAGTGAAAGGGTTGTTTTGAGAGTGACGTCCAAATTCTGGTCAGTCAACAGTCTTTATATTCCTGTTCCAGTTAGGAGGAGGATGTTTGTCTCTAGTACATATATAAGAAAGGTTGTCAGGAGTTTATCTAGGTCCTAGTTTCATTGAAGACTTCACACAGTTTGGGGGAATATTTCATAATGTGCATTTTATCACATGATTTTCTCATTTGCTGAATGGTGGCCAGCACTACGCTGATGGTGCTCATTAAAGGTGACGTTTCGATTTCCTGACTCTGTCAGTTTGGCATGAGGAAGAGCTGGCTCTGCAATTGTACTGCTCTTCACTATGGAAAAAGTCAGTCTGAAGAAATCATGTCATGTTACTCACCTCAAAAGAAATAATCTGTTTCATCTCACAGTTTTCAAACTTTACCAGTTTTTTAATTTGTGCAGTTGTGCACAAAGTGAGTGCGGAGCTTTGATCTGTGGTTCTGGTATCCCGCGAGGGAAACAGCCAGAGATAAGCGAAGCATGAGGATGAAATGAATGGGTGGAAGCACTACTCCTGAAACCTCCCCTTTGAGATGTCTTTTAGCACACTGGGGAGAACTGTGCGATTTAAGCAAGCATCAGCTCATTGACTATTGCAATCATGTATGGTTATTGCATGATTTGGAGAGTGGGGAAAATGGCCTTTTAATGGGACTTTGAATTATAATATTATTTTGCAATTGATGTTGTTTTGTAAGAGAGAAGAAAAATTGCATGAACTCCCATACATAGATCTTTTCTTTTATCTCAGGGAAAAGCCAGACTGGCAAATGGAGTGTAAAGTGAATAATCAGGAATGTACTAAAGAAATGTCTTTGTGAGTAAAGCCAGAAAAGGCTCAAGAAAGTTGCACTGCTTGTACTTCCACCAAAATGTGCTGTAAACACCTGGCTATGAAAAAAACAAAAACGAGGGGAGTGGACTAGCACTGGAGACGAACCCAGCTGAGCCTCTCGTAACAATAAAGCTGAAAAGGAAGTCACATTTCTGGTGGATACAGGTGCAACATTTTCTGTATTAAATAAATGAAAAGGGAAGATTGGTACTAAAACAGTAAATATTGTGGGAGCCATAGGGAAGGAGGAAAATTGGCTATTCCTGCAACCCCTGAATTTACAATTTGGAAATAAGATAATAACGCATGACTTTTTTTATGTCCCTGAATGCCCACTGCCCCTATTGGGAAGGGATTTACTGTCCAATGCACAAATTGGTTTTGAAAATGGGAACTTGCTGTTGAAAATACCTGAATCAAAAACAGGACAAATTTTAATGATAAAAGAAAGACCTGAAGTGATGGGGGTGCCTCCAGAAATAAAAAATGCAATATATCCTACAGTGTGGGAGACTGATATTCCAGGAAAATCTAAAATGGCCCAGCCAGTAAAAGTTAAGTTTAAAAAAACAAACAAACAAAAACAACAAAAAAACCAAGACCAGTTAGGGTTAAACAGTATCCGATTAGACCAGATACTAAACAGGGAATAAAGAAACTGATTAATAAATTTCTGAAGTATAAAATCTTAGAATGTTAATCGGAATATAATACACCAATTTTACTGGTGTGAAAACCAAATGGGGAATATAGGTTAGTACAAGACTTAAGACCTATAAACCAAATTGTGAAAGATACATATCCAGTTGTAGCGAATCCGTACACCTTATTGACAGCTCTAAAGGAGAACTACCAATAGTTTACAGTGCTTGATTTGAAAGATGCTTTCTTTTGTATCTCTTTGGAAAAGCAAAGTTGCAAACTGTTTGCTTTTGAGTGGGAAAACCCACAATCAGGGCACAAGACACAATTAACATGGACATGACTACCCCAAGGATTCAAAAATAGCCCCACGATTTTTGGAAGACGACTGGCAAAAGAATTAGAAATGTGGACTAAAGAAAAGACTCTGATTCCAAGATCAGAACATCTAGTTCTACAGTACGTAGATAATACTTTAATAGCCACAGAAGTAAAATCAGCTTGCATACAGGCAACCATTGAACTTCTAAATTTTCTGGTACTGAATGAGTACAAGGTGTCTAAGAAAAAGGCCCAGATTGTGAGCAAAATTGTGGTTTATTTGGGCTTTGAAATTTCAAGAGGACAGCGACGGCTAGAAATAGACTGAAAAGAAGCTATTTGTGCTATCCCGGAGCCTCAGAAGGTGCATGAATTAAGGGCATTTCTGGGAATGACAGGATGGTGCAGGCTTTGGATCATGAACTATGGTCTAATAGCCAAGCCATTATATGAAGCCCAGAAGACTGTCCCTTTTGTGTGGGAAAAACCAGAGCAAGAAGCCTTTTGGAAACTCAAGGAGGCTCTGATGACGGCACCAGCCCTGGGTTTACCAGATTTGACTAAAGACTTTCAATTGTTTTTCCATGAGAGGCAACAGCTAGCCTTAGGAGTCCTGACTCAAAGGATGGGAAGCTGGAAAAGACCGGTGGGATATTTTTGCAAACAGCTGGACTCGGTAAGCAAAAGGTGACCTTCTTGCTGCGGGCAGTTGCTGCAACTGTAATATTGATACAAGAGGTGAGGAAATTGACTCTGGGAAGGACTATCACAGTTTATGTCCCACACTTGGTAGCAACAGTTTTGGAACAAAAGAGGGGACATTGGCTATCCCCTAGCAGAATGATGAAATATCAAGTGATAGTTACTGAACAAGATGGTGTCGTTTTAAAAACAACTAACCTTGTGAATCCTGCAGTGTTTTTGAGTACCTCACAGGAAGGGCAGCAGCTGGAGCATGACTGCATTGTGACCATCAAGCATACATACTCCAGTCAGGAGGATCTGAAAGATGTTCCCCTTGAGAAACTGGACTGGAAACTATTTGCAGACGGCTCTAGTTTTGTTTTGAATGGAACTCACCATGCTGGATATGCAGTAACAACTGAAAATATAGTGGTGGAGGCACATGCACTGCCTGTCACAACCTCTGCACAGAAGGCGGAGTTGATCATATTAACCTGAGCCTTGGAACCAAGTAAAGGAAAGAAGGCTAACATATGGACTGACGCTAAGTATGCTTTTGGTGTAGTCCATGTCCATGGGGTCCTGTGGAAAGAAAGACTGCTATTGTCCTCACAGGGAACAAATATTAAGCATCAAAAAGAAATTTTACAGCTCTTATTGGCTGTACAAGAGCCAGCACAAATATCGATCATGCACTGTAAAGCACATCAATCTGGAAACACTAAAATAGTAGAAGGGAATAGATTAGCAGACCAGACTGCTAAGAAAGCAGCACTACAGCAAACAGCACCACAAATGGCACTAATTCCCACTAGAACTGTAGAACTTCCTAAGGAATCTCCAAAATACTCTGTAGAGGATGATAAATTGACACAATTGGTAAATGCAAAGAAAAATCAGGACGGATGGTGGGTTACCAGCATGGGACAAGTAGTGGTTATGAGGGAGATCTTGCAGATAAAACATCATGAATGTCATTGGGGTGCGGAAGCCCTGGTACAGATCCTAAAGCAAAACGTAGTATCAGTGAAAATGTTAGAAATGGCTAAATCAGTATCTGCGAAATGTGAGGTTTGTTTAAAGAAGAATCCAGTAGTACGAAAGAAAGTTCAAATGGGCAAAATAAAAACAGGAGTAGAACCAAGTGACTATTGGCAAATTGATTTTACAGAATTACCTGAATGCAATGGGTACAAATACGTTTTAGTTGGTGTTGACACCTTTTCTGGATGGCCAGAACCCTTTCCCTGTCGCACAAATCAGGCTAAAGAGACTTTTAAATGGTTACTGCAGGAAATTATTCCGAGATTTGGAGTTCCACTTGGAATATCATCAGACAGATGACCACATTTTGTGGCCACAGTGGTACAAGAAGTAAGCAAGGTCTTAGGAATTCCTGGGACTTGCGTGCTCCTTGGAGGCCACAATCTAGCAGGAAAGTGGAAAGAATGAATCAAACCCTGAAAAGACAAGTCAGTAAAATTTGCCAGGAAGCTAAATTAAAGTGGCCTCAAGCACTTCCACTTGCATTGTTACAGATACGAGTAAAACCTAGGAGTGGACTGTCGGTAAGCCCCTATGAAATAATGTATGGAAAACCATATGAATCACCTGAGCCTAATCCTAATATACATGTAAAAGGAAAACAAGAGGTGCATAACTATTTGTTTTCTCTTGGAAAAACTAGCTAGACTTTGAGGAGCAATAGTGTGGAACTGGCCTTTGGAAAGGCCATTGGAAAATCCAGTGTACAACATACTGCCAGGGGACTATGTGTGAAGACTTGGAATGAAGAATCTCTGCAGGAAAGGTGGAAAGGACCGTACCACATGTTGCTGACTACTTTTATTGTAGTCAAGATTGCCAAATCAGATGCGTGGATCCACTACACTTGAATGAAGAAGACACCGCTTGTCAAGTTGAAAGTGACTGGAAACCCAGAGACTTTGAAACTAACTTTGAAGCATGATTAAATTTGTTTATCTGTTTATTTGGCAGTCTGGTAGTAGAAACATGGATCAAAATTGGGTGGCTAAATTGGACCATACAGATAACACAAATTCGGATCTGAACTTGAAATCCTGGATAAAATCACTGATCGAAACACTGCTGCTATTGGTTATAGTGTTTCTGGAAATTTATTTAGTGTATCTTTGCATAAGAAGAGAACTTGATAGGAAAACAAAATGGAATCAAAAAATTCTGACTGCACTATCAAGACAATATGAAATACCTAAAAATGATCCACCACCATATGACAAGGATGGTTTTGAAACAATAGAAATATAAAATTATTTTAATGAAAATATTGAAAGTTGATTATCAATACTTTCAAAGGGGGG